CCCCCCCCCCACCAAAACAAACGTGTCGATTCTCCCTTTTACCCCTCCCTCCGCCCTTTGTCAACGTTAAACGCAAAGCAACAACAAAGACTTTGCCCATCAATTTCCACAAAGTTATCAATTGAGTTTTTTAAAAGAGTCTCGTTTTCCAACAAGCTCTCATGAGATATATATATATATATATATATATATTATTTTTGTATATTTATTTTTTATTTTTTAACTCTCATGATATAGTTTGTTTGTGTAAATTAGTTTGGTAATTGAACTTGACCACCAATTAAGGTTTTTTTTTTTAAATAATAATTATGTGTATAGTATATAATTCATTTTTATTATGTTAATATTTTCAAAAGATTTAAATATAAATGTAGAATTCATCATATACAGTATTAAAATAGAAACATCTTTTATATGCTAAATGTTATTATAATGTTAATTTAAGAAATACTAGAGGGATCAACAACTAAGAGGTTGAATGCAAGTTAACCCATGCCATGTTAGTAAATCTTATTTATTATTAATTATTTTCAATTTAAATGAGACTATAATTCTCTATCAATTCTTTGATTCTCTCTTAGTAACTTTATAGACTTCAAGTAATTATTTTATTTTATTTTTGCGATTAAAGCTTAAATATATTGATTAACAACTCAAATTTAAGTTGGGCTCGAGCATAAATCGAGCAACATGGAAAGTAGGCTGAAATCAAGCTTAAGTATGGAATTCTTAAATATCTGAGCCCAAGTCGTTTAGGTTTAATTCGACTCATTTCCACTTCAAGGACTTATTTGATAGAAAGATTAGATAAGAGGCTAAACTGATGGTTCTTAGAAAGTTCATGGGGGAAGACAAGGAGAAAGTACCTCTTCTTTTTTTAAAGACAATAGAGAAAAACACAAGGGTATATTTGGAAGTAGAAAAGATACTCTGTGTCAGTATTAAGGGAGGGAGGGATCGGGATGATTACAAAGACAAGATGCGTGCGGGTCAGAATTATTAGGGAAAAAACAATCGCTTGACGTGGCAACAGATGACTGGCTAACCCGCAGCAGGTTGGGTTTATTGTTGGTGGAGACTTTCCGACCTATTTTTTTCTACTTCTGTGTTTGGGGCATGGAAGAGCTGGCCATGCTCAGGCAGCTCATCGCTCAGCTTCAGGATTTTCTTCATCTCTACGGCTCTCCGCCGCCGCCACCGCCACCGCCGTCGTTGTCTTCCAACCTTCCGTTCTACCTCCTCCATTACCACCACTCCCCGACCCCGCCGCATCAGCAGCAGCAGCAGCAGCAGCAGCAACCGCAGCAAGAAGACAACCACAGGTTCCGCCATGTCTTCCTTCGTAGATCTCTTTTCTCTCCAAATTATTTCCTTTTGTTTGTGGTATCTCCTTCCTTGACCTCGCATTTCTCTCTTCTTGGTTCGGAATTTGCTTCCTCTTGGTTTCGTCTTCTGCTTAGGTCTTCTGGTGTCTGTTTGGTTTGATGGTGATTCGGTGATTTTATTTTTTTTTTTTTTTTTCGTTGATTTGGTGTTTTCTGTCGTTTCGCGGTAGGTGAGTCTCTTTCCTTCGGTTGCCATTTGAGATTTGAGTATAATTTGCTGCTATGTTACTGCTTGTTTTTGGTATGTTGTTCTCAATTAGCAGATTGTGGATATTCATTATGAGTTCCTTCTTTGGTTGGAGTGTGCATCAAATTTCTATATTTGATAACAGAATTTCTGAGTTACAGAGTGGACTACTTAGCCTGGACCATATTTCTTTATCTTTTATATTCCTATAAATGTTCTGTCATTTCAACTTTCATCCTTTCAAATTCTTTTTTTTTTTTTTCCTACTTTGCTATTTTTTTTTAACCCTTCTAATTTTTGATATCTTGAATGTGTTTTATGATTATCCTCGTTGATTAGCATGAGATTCTCCTTAAATTGCCCTTTACTGTGATTCTGTGATTCCCAAAAAATTGCCTTCTTGTTTTCTCCTTTTTGTTTTTGTGTTATTCCAGGAGAGGGAGGGTGTTATGCAGTCATGGTCAAACAATAACCCGTAGATTGTTTATTTCTGTACACTTAGAATCTGATCTCTCAATTGTTAGATTTTGATTTGTGGAAAAGAATCATAGTCGAGAAATGTTGTTGCAGCCTATCATATTATGTACCCCTTTATCTCCAGAAAATAGGAATGAAAGAGGAGAAAGGGCCAAACAAAAATAGAATAAAGTTGAGCTGTCCTTGAAAATTTTATATTTTACCCACAATCGAGCTGTGTGTGAACTTTATATGTTATGGGTTAATATGGAATTCCTTTGATACTGGCTTGAGAATAAAGCGAGGAAAAAAAGGCTTCCTTGTTTGCTTCGGTATTTACTTATCCAAAATGCCTGGCATGTATGGTCATTCTTGTCCTTGTCCTCTAAGGGATGTAACAATAATTAGAGCTTGAGACTTCCAAGTCATGTTTGAACCTTGGGATAAAAGAGGGAGGATTTGGGAAAGGGGGTGGGCCTACCCGTATTAAATAACTTACATTTGCTTTGGCTGTTAAATAGGCCACATTCAAATCAACCAAAGAAATGGCCATTCTTGTCCATACCATATGCTGAACAAAGTTCATAGCTGTCAACTTAGTTGAGTTAGCTATCCTATTGACCTTCATAGCTGCATGCGTATGTAAGTATAACTGGTAATGTAGCTATTCATATGCTTGAAATTACCTTTGAAATGTTGACTTGCAACATTTACTAAACTATCCATGTCCAGGCATTACCACCATTACAAGAAAACAGTATAAGTAATATTATTACATAACCATACAAATGGATACGTGTTCATGTGCAAGTTACCACTTGTGAGCAGTTCGTGTATATACTGATTAGTGAATGTGGAAAATTTAGACCTGCATGCATATCGTCGATGTTTTGCTTCAATTATTGGATGATTGAGTGGTAGGTTTTCTTAATGCAAATGCAATTAAATGAGGATTACATTGCCAAATGGCTGGCTGGCACTACTCTAAATTTCTAAAATCTTACGTACACCTCCAACACAGACCTTCTTGAGAACTTATGTAGATGGAGTATAATCTAGTGACATTCTAATCTCTATCATAAGTCAGTTGTTATAATACATGTTCTGCTATATAAGCCACATGATTCTCATGACATCTATTTGCACTTTGGTAATGATTTGCTGTTACTTGTGGTGCTTTCTTTGAACATTTCTATACTTCATTCTCATATTTTAATGCCAGCATGTCTAGCATCTATGCCATCTAATATTTTTGTGATCAATATAGTAGATAATTTCCTAGGTAACCCAAAAGATTAGGACCATTGATTTTTGTTTCTGCACAATTAAGTAGAGAAGATAAGTGAATGGTTTGTCCTGCAGTTATTGACAAAATGACATGATGAAGAAATTTGAACTGGCTGTTTTGGGCTGTTTAATAACTATATGAATGCATGTGCTACCTCTAATGTTCTCTGTGATGATGCATCTAGCTCATTTACCTAGATGTGGGCATGTTTACAGCCAAATTATTTTAGATTTTATCTTCAGAATTCAGTGAAGCGTACATCAAGTTGGAAACAGATGACTAACCTTTTTCTGCTTCTACCCAGATGGTGCATTCCCACTATTGATGATAGTTCTACAGATGATTGCTTCACTCTCATGATGGCAGCTGGAAAATCTGGAAGTTGCAAGATGTTGGAATCGTCCAAGCCTCCATCAAATAAGAAAGCAAGAAAGGAGCGGAACAGAGGTAAATTACCTGGCACTACCAGTCCAAGTGAAGCAATGGAGCAGGAAATCTGGAAGGAGTTTCCAGAAGACCTTTTTGAAGCAGTCATTGCAAGGCTTCCCATTGCCACATTCTTTCGCTTCCGTTCTGTTTGCCGGAAATGGAACTTCTTGCTAGACTCACAAAGTTTTGCTCAGCACTGTTCTGAAGTCACACCAGCAAATCCCTGGTTCTATACAATTAGTCATGAAAATGTGACATCTGGAGCCATGTATGATCCTTCCTCAAAGAAATGGCACCACCCCACCATCTCCTTCCTGCCAACAAAGATGACTGTCCTGCCAGTTGCTTCAGCAGGGGGCCTAGTTTGCTTTCTTGATATTGGTCATAGGAACTTCTATGTATGCAACCCTTTGACTGAATCATTCAGAGAATTGCCAGCTAGGTCAGTTAAGGTATGGTCCCGTGTTGCTGTTGGGATGACCCTGAATGGGAAGTCAGCTGTTTCAGGCTACAAGATCCTTTGGGTTGGGTGTGATGGTGAGTATGAAGTTTATGATTCAGTGAAGAACTCATGGAGTCGACATGGAAGCATGGCAGCAGACATTAAGCTGCCACTATCACTGAACTTCCGGTCACAAGCAGTTTCCATTGGCAGCACTCTTTACTTCATGCGGTCAGAGCCCGAAGGGATTGTGTCCTATGACATGATTACTGGGGTATGGAAGCAATTTATCATCCCAGCCCCACTTCATCTAAGTGACCACACACTAGCTGAGTGTGATGGTAGGATCATGCTTGTGGGGTTGCTGACAAAAAATGCTGCCACTTGTGTGTGCATATGGGAGCTGCAGAAGATGACGCTCTTGTGGAAGGAGGTTGACAGAATGCCAAATATATGGTGCTTGGAGTTTTATGGGAAGCACGTTAGGATGACTTGCTTGGGCAACAAAGGATTGCTCATGTTGTCACTGAGATCAAGACAAATGAATCGGTTGGTTACTTACAATGTGATGAATAGAGAATGGCTGAAGGTTCCTGGATGTATGGTGCCGCGAGGAAGGAAGCGACAGTGGATTGCTTGTGGCACTGCCTTTCACCCCTGCCTCACTGCTACTGCCTGATTTCTAACTTCCGTTGTACTTTTGATGCCAATGGCAGTCGAGGGTGGTAGTTTTCCATCAGCTATAGCATCTATGCTTGTTAGCCGGTCACAATCTTCTGGTGCAAGTTCCTCCTCAGCCGAAGGTGCTATGTTGCTTTAGGGGCAGAGGAGTGATTAAATGGTGATGGCAGCCTCTTTGTGCTGTGCTAAATATGTGAATTAATAACTGTCATTTCCTGAAGTCTTTGATTATGTCATGTGATAGTTCTCAGCTGTGTAAGAATATTTGCTTATTCACGGTGAATTGAGATGATTCATTGATGGGTCGGTGGTTAATACTTTAAACAATATGTTGAAAAGGTTCCTAATTGAATGTCTGATACCTGGAGTGGAGGCTAAAGCAATCGTCAATATTCAAGCAACTTCACGCGGAGGACGCTAGGATTCCAAATAATAGTCTTTTGTTTAGCTTTTGCACTGCATTCTTGAATTGCATCTCTTTTTCAGAAGCTGACCAGCTAGGCTTATTGCAAAACAATATTTATTTCATAAAATTAACTATAATATTGTATGTGAGCAAAGAGCATAAATCTCCATTTCCTTGTTGACTGTTTTGAAATGGCTGATATCATTTCCAATATTCACTTGGGTATAAACCCAAACCCAGCCGCATAGCTTGGGCTCACTAAATACACTCAATTGCCACCAAATACTGTTTCATAGCTTCAGCACCCATTTCTGCAGTTTGAGGTCGACTGTTGTTCAATATCATCATTTACAGTATTTGGCCATTCACATAACAAATATACCAAACTGTAAGATAAAAATATTGGACACCAAGAAGAGGAGTTCTATTCAAAATCCGGGAGTTTCACAACAGACATAAGCATTAAATAAACATATAATTAGTTCGCTGAAGACTCTAACATTTAAAGGTAAAATGACACAACCGAAGGCCTCTGTTACATTTCTCAGTATGACTGCACAATTATGCCATGCCTCCGCTGGTTGCTGTCCTGATAATCTGGAAAAGTGCTGTTGGATAACAGACATAGAATCAGTAAATCATCTACCAAAATAGAAATGCTAAAATTTCTGCAACAATGGGATGGATTTTTCAATTCTAAATTCTATTTGAATTTGCTTTGCGATATTCTAGATATTCAAATTATAAGATTTCAAGTTCAAAATCCTGCCCTTGTGGTCTGGATGTGAACAGTACCCACATAAGATAAAGAGGCTTGTTGAATATAAACCATAATATCAAGAACTGGATATCTCTGAATTGTTATGGGAAATTTAAATAAATGCTAGAATGGTAAAATGGTTAATTAGACGGTCTTACATGATCCAATGACAACGAAAACAAAGAAACCAAGCAGAACAGGCCCAACAGGATAGTCCTTTCCCTTTTTAGTGCTTGCTTCAGGCACAGCTCCTCTCTTTGTGATGTTCTTCTCGAACCTCTCCACCTTCCTATCAGCAAAGCGCCTTGATGTTGTCTGCACAAATAACAAATAATGCCCATTAAATTAAAAGATATGAGGACGCAAATTTACACCAATTACAAAACTTGTTTGTCCCATGAGACTATAAAGATGATACTAAATACAAAGTTATTAGATATAATTTAGCATCAGGAAAGAGATCTATGAATACAAATTTCACAGCCAATTTCATTAAATCGAGAATGTCTACAAAATTATATTACCAACACCAGTCACCTGTACATGAACTAAGATTGGTTAAGTCAAAATTCTTTCAATCAAATCTTTGTATCATTAACAAGTACCAAATTATCAAAATAACAACAGATCGAAAAGTTACTTGGAAAAAGACCAAATTAAGCACGCAAATCTGCAGACATGATTATAGGATTAGGTTCATTTTCATGAGCTATTTGCGATTCAACCGATTCACGCCACACAATAAACATTAAAGACAGAAAATCAGCAACCGCCACACAAACTTACAGATCGACTAAAACGATCCGATTTCCAGCCGTTCTCACATCAAATCAAAGAGAAACATGAAGAGATCAATAGAAACTCGGGAATTGAGGAGGAACAAATGGAAGATAATAGAAATAACGGAGCAGGAGGAAAAGAAATTACCATGATTAGAGAGATCGATTAGCCGGGAGCGGTTGGAACTAGATAGCGTCGGAGGATTCGAGTCGATTGCTTGTCTTCACCCTTTCCGGCGACGTCGTCTCTATCTCTCTCTCTCTCTCTCTCTCTCTCGAAATCACCGTGTCTTAGAAAAGAGAAGTCTCTCGTTCTGTTTTTATACTCGTAAGTCCTAACTGATTTTGACACAGTCGCGGTGCGTAGCGTCACCGTCTCCGTTTTGATTGGTGGTCCCATACGCGTTAAGATAGATATTATTGGATCTTGGGTTAACATTTTTACCCTTTTTTTTATTTTTTTAATTTAAAACACGGACTAAAAAAAACATAATAAATATATTTTTTAATAATATATTT